TTCGACTTTATTCAGGTCTGCGCCTAGTGGTGCTTACTACATCAAAACCGAACAAACAACAACCAAGGTGTACTGCTACATGGAGGATATCCCTGGGTGTGGTGGGGGAGGATGGACGACCGTTATGAAGACCAACGGACACATGGTAGGTGTTATGGTTTTACTTTCGCTTATTTCACTTCCGGTTTGAATCATTTGCAAACCGTGCAACTGTACAAACTAAATAGTGCTATTTAGTTGTATTTAGTAAATCGTGCATGCGGTACGCAAATGAAATTGAATTGATAAACTATGAAGTTTATCATGAAGTTTATTTCAATACCGTCTTGCTTCGGGTCCACTTTTAGTACAAATTAGTACTACTAAGATTTTGTACAGTTGTACGGTTTAAGTGCGATCACTCTACAAATGAAGCATTCAATACCGTCTTGCTTCAGGTCCACTTTTAGATACAAATTTGTATTACTTAGATTTTGTACAGTTGTACGGTTTAAGTGCGATCACTCTACCGTGATGTAAGTTCAATAATACTGAAGTAAATCTACTTTAAACCAAGCTCGCGTAATCCATACTTATCTGAAAACACAACAATAGGAAAAAGAGGTTATCCTATTTGTTAATGAAACTATGGGCAATATGCACCTAAACCATCTTATCGAGCAAGCAAAAAAAAAAAAAAATCGCATCATGCTTTGTTGTACAAAATGAAGTCACTATATATTGCTTATTGCATTATTCTCAAAGTACCGTATTTATGCACTTTTTTCCAAAAAATCGTTCCGAAATCGGGGGTGCGGCTTATCTACGAGAAGACTTGCAAAAATGACCGATAAAAACTAATTTGCATAAATTAGCAATCACGGTGCTACTTACTGCAGACAGGACACCAGTAATGTGATAAGTTTGTTTTACACGGCGGGAACGGAAATTTTAATCCAATTTATTACAACGTAGAATAGTGAATACTAAATACTGCAGCCCAAGACCGCAATGCATTATTGATACTTCAAAAACTTCACGTTAGTTGCATTCCAAAGAAGTTCTAGTCCAGTCCCAGTCCCTTCTCGACCCGCTCGGTTAGCGATCTTCTTGCGGTGGAAAAGGGCCTTTTCCCCCGCGAGATGCCCGTTGACTAAGCGGGTCGAAAAGGGTCTGGGACTGGACTAAACAAGTTCTTGACTGAACTAGAGCTGGCATTTCTCTGATGAAACCACGAAAACTCCTTTTGAGAGCGAGTGAACGTCAAACAATTCATTGCGGTCTTGGAATACACTAACTTCAGCGTTTTTGTACATCACAATCAGTACTTTACATTTCACTCTCATTTCAGTCCACATTTGGCTACGATTCGGCATACTGGACCAACAAGAAGGCATTTCACGTGAATGGGGGCCAGTCCGGCGCAGACCATCAAGAAACTAAGSTGCCAACCTACTGGGCCACACCYTTCACTAGTCTTTGTTTGGGGATGRTGACRGTTTTTCAGAGAAGACCAAACTGGATCCGTGTGAATTACAAGTAAGAGTGCGCGCTTTTCTGATCCACATTTGAACATGAACTACACTAAACATAGAAAAATAATTTGTAAAATTAATCAATAATGGGCTGCCTATGAAAACGCGATTTTAGTTTGAACCAATCAAAAGAAACTTTYGACTAGAGATCATTTAATTGTAAAACAAACACGATCGAAAAGGTTCCCGGATGCACGTGATTAACAAAATGTTTTGCGCATGTTTGTGTAGGGCAAGATCGCTGTACTCTGTAATYGCAGACAACCGCTATCGCAGTTTTTCCATCGGTCGTAACAAGTGGAAGTCGTTGATTCCTGGCTCGTCTTTGCAGAGAAACTGCAACCGAGAGGGATTCAATTCCAGACCAATAACTGCGAAAGGTAGCGACAGGGTGAGAATCGGTATTGTGTCAAATCAGGAGAATGACTGCAAAAGCCCCGACTCCCGCATTGGCTTTGGAGGTGCGGGTTGGTACTGTGGGATCAAGTCTGATAACTCGGTATATACAGGTATCAAGGCAAGATGCGGTGGCGACAACGGAAACAAGGCCATTAAAACTTTCGGCTACATATTGGTTCAGTAAATCGTTTGAGCTGTTTTTCTGCCAGATCCATTATTTCTTACTTTCTACCCCCTCCTGAAATGTTTGACTGCGAGTTGTCGTAGGATTTCTATCATTTTTAAAATCAAAACAACTAATATCCCACAATACCTTGTGATTGAACAGATTACCCAAGATGCCTTGTGGTCAAACAGATATCCCATGATACACTGTGTTTCTAACTTCCTTGAACTAAAATGTAATCAAAATGAGCTTAAGGTATAAGAGAGATTGTTTGTATTCTTTAAATAGGGTTCGTACAGTCTTGAAAAGTCCTTGATTTTGGAGCTAGATCCTTGTAAAGTCCTTAAATGCAAATTTTCCTTGAAAAGTCCTTGAATTTGGAGGAAAGGTCCTTGAAAATGATAATTTAGTCCTTGAATCAGTCATGATTGTTGTGAAGTAATGTTTTAGAGATCAATTTTGCCAAGCTTTGAAGCAAATTGATAATATTTCAATCCTTTTGGCAATGTCTGTCGTACGATTGTGCAATACGGCGGCAAAGAAATTAATAGAGATTGTAAAMAATATGCTCCAAAACTGAGAAAGTTCTTAAAGTTTACTGCAATGTTTTTATTGTTCTGTTTGGTAAGACACAGGACTATTAATTGTAATTGGTGTCCTTGAAAATTGAAAATTAATCCTTAAAAAGGCCTTGAAAAATCCTTGAATTTTATATGAAAAAATTTGTATGAACGCTGTTTAAAAGTAAAAATTCAAAATCATATCAATCAAATTCAACACTAAAATGVTAACGATTATTTTCATCATTATCATCGTCATCATATCCTCCTGTGTGCACTGTTCTGTTTCTGCAACAGCAGACTTCTAAATAGAATAACTTAACAAGAAATAATGGTTCTGGTGCAGTTTGAATGAGAAATTAACAGTCCACTATAAAAGGTAAAATATTAAGGGTAACTTAGTACAGAATGAAGATAAATTTTAGACACAATCAAATATGATTTGTTTCATATTTTTTATCATTGTGTGTCAATTGACAGTAAATTGTAATGATAAATTTAATTCAAATTAAAGCATTATAAAACTGATTTTCAAAGGTTTCAGCTTGTATAAGTTATGTTGTTTGTCCTTTTAAATTGTTCTTTGTATTTTACGCTTTCCAGATGAATAATAGGCATGGTTTTTCTTCTATTTCTTCCCATTTTT